ATGTTTGAAGCTATTCATTAGTTCTAAGTTGCACTTGATATTTGTTTATCCTTTGTGTAACTGCCACCTGCCGTTTCATAATCCTAATTAACAGAAGAATTCAGTAAACGTTTTGAACAAAGCCTACAGGAAATGAAGAAGATCCTATGAATTATAGGCCATAAGAAACCTGTGCAAATAAATAAATACTTTCCACGAAATAAGTTCCTTTATATTCAGAGAAAAGATTAGTGTTCTTTTAAAGTAGTCTAAAACTTTGTTCTTAATTAACGCTGTCTGAGCAAAGTTTGTTCGATAGCAAAAAATGCTCAATTTAATTAATCAACTTGTCGCTCCCAGCTAATGACACTTTTGTCATTCTTAAAGGGAAAAAAATTAAAGATTTTCAGAAAATTTACATCATGTGGTTGTTTCACTAAATATTTTTACAGACGAAGCTTTTGAAGTTTTCATTATTTTTGCATTTACTCACTAAGGGAAAATCTGCATTTGTTGGGAAAAATCTTTAAAAATCTCTGAATTCACACCAAATGTCATTGGCTCTACGAAAAGTGTACGTATTTGCAAAATCGATATTTCGTGAGAAAGGAGTTTGATGTTTGACAGCTCGATAAAATTTTGAGTTAGAATAAATATCTTTATCGATTAGTATGATAGCGAACCAAAGCTTGCTTTTGCGCCATCAGGATCGAACCTTGAGAAAAGCATATTTGTTTGCGACTGTAGTGTTGAGAGAAAGATTTAAATTCCGACGAATCTAGAGAAGTTGATGTAAAGTATAAAACAACATAATATTGCGGCTGGTCAAAAAAGTATTCTTTGGGATTCCATTCCTTTATTCTCAGCCGGTGGTATGCGTAGCACTGTTGGTACGCAAGAGAAAAATAGGTGGTACCCAAGGACACAAAGTATTTTTAACTATTAAATTCAAAACTTAAGTACCCCAGTATCCTGTTTTAAGTTTTTTCTCTAACGCTCGTAAATTTATGCGATATGAGTTCTGTTCCAGGTCAATAGCCGCTCATAGACTTCAGCAAAATCATCTGGTTTTATTTTCACAAATATTCTTTTAGCTACAGACATCACAAATTTGTCATAAGTCATGAATAATAGAAATGTATGTTATATTTAATACGAAATAAAAATAAGTTTCCATAAAAATTAATAGTATTTCATTAATTCTTTCGGCCCACCAGCGGCCGAGCGGTAAAGACGCTGAACACTGGTAGTTCGGTCCGAGGTTCGAATCCCACGAACGGGCTGGCTGTATGGGCGTTTTCGTGGTTTTCCCCCATGTGTAACGTGTATATGAGCCAGTTTCCCTTAGAAAGTCCTCCACGAAGGCATCCCTCCGTTTAGGCAGGTAGCCCTTGTGTGCTTTGCCATAAATGTAGGGTTCTCTTTAAATCAGAGCATGAGAGCTTGAAAGTAGCATTTTTAAATATGCTTTTATTTAACAATAAGAAATAAAAATAATAAAGATAAATTAAGTAATGTTGAATTATTCATGTAATGATGCACAATCACAGACAGTCCTTTCACACAGAGTTCCTCCGGCGTTGATAGAATACATTAGTCCCAGCTAGTTTTAGATAGTATGATCATCTAAAGTCACTTGATGCACGAAAGAAGACCGTCTGTCTTCTTCAACTCTTGAAGACGAGCGAGCCGTTTGCTCGCATCTCCACTCACATCTACGTCTAGACGCTATCTCTTGGTGTCTGGAATGATTCTTACTGCGCTGTGCGGTGATAACGTCATTGCTGGCATTCTAATTCAGCATCGGGCGTTGATGATTCCCACATAAATGAATAATCCAATCCAATCCATTAATTCTTTTAGAGTCGATCGATTTATTAGCATGTCTACATCTTATGTTGCCACCACTTCCGGGATCATATTGTTTGGAAAAATATGTATTTTACCTATTTTTCTTATTGTAACATATTCCGGGCTATTTTCAATCCGAATCGTTTGTTTATGTCGAATAGTTATCTCTAAACAGTACGTATTTGGTCGTCTTGTTGCTTTTTGTGTTCCATACTTTTCTACGCTTACCTTTCGTGGTTTCTGAAGAACTCATTACGGTTTAATTTACAGTTAAAATTAAGTGAAATAATATCAGAAATAAAGAAATTGATCTCTCCTAAAAAGGCCCAAACATCACAGCAAATTTTAAACTTTTATAATTAAAATGGTAACCAAGCTTTAATCTAATATTTTTATGTGTGCATATCTAATACAAATAGCCAACGGGTTGTGCAATTGAGAAAATATATATTTTTCAATATTTCTATTGAGAAACTGAAAATTATCATTATAAAATGTAATGCTGATACTAAAGGGTTTTCAGTTTTTATTTAGATAGTACGCATTGGTTGAGAACCCCTGCCTTAAGGTATTTGGATAGAACCTGGGGTAAAATTTAAAAGTTGCACTGTGATCCTGAAGCCAAGCAAAGTCAAGCGACTTACAGGCACATGTAGATATACAGGCACAAATGCATCTGCTTTTGATTAGTTATGGGTCTGTTCGTTCGGCTAGTGTCAGAACCTGAAGTCGGTAGCCAACATAATAAGGCAATGTGTTGAGTTGTTAGTTGAAATTTTCGATAAACAGGCTATGGCTAAGAATTGGATTTGTGGCCGATTCTCCAGCCCAATCTGAGAGAGTTCACCATGTGACCATATCCGGCTCTGACCTTCCCTGCATAATATGGGAGTTTTCAGAAGGAACTGGCCCCCTAATTTCCATTAAGTTGCAGGAAATGTTTATAAAGTTTGTTGTCGTTACCGCCATTTAGTTATATTTTGTGTTAACAGTATAGTATCGCATTTTGTCACTTTTCTAATCAGAACACAAAAGCACACTCATACACACACACACACACAAAAAAAAAAAAAAAAAAAAAAAAAAGAAGAACGAAAATGAGCTTAAAATTGTAAATTTAATTAAATCTCTGGTCTCCAGAGAATTTTATTATTAGTTTATAATAAAACTTTTAATTACTTATAAAATTTGGTGCAACAAGAATTTCATATAGTATACATAGTAACTTTGTAATAACTTCTTTTTAATGCATAACGTTCAGAGATTCAAGTTTGACAACTAGGAATTTAGAAGTTGATAGTTTTATGTGTTTACAACCCTTCCCTACATTCTAATTTCTTTTCCTTTAAATTATATAACTTTCTGCTTATTGTGCAACAAATAATATTGGAAAATTCAGGACACAGTTAAACTCCCTTAGAGAGATAACTATATTTTAAAGATTTTTAAATTAATATATTCTAAAGACTGATGTTTTAAAATACATAAGCCGAGCATATGTTCAAGTATAAGGTATATCAGCTTCTTTGAAAACAATACTCGTAATTACCCCAATGACCGTTAGCCCAGAAAGGCTATTAATTCCGTTTTGGCATTTGGTGTTGATTCACTATAAATGTCAGATCACTTTTCAAATTGTTGCCACCAAATATAAGGGCCCTGTATTATATTTAAAAAATTAAATAATGAAGAATCTGCGTAAATGTAGGTATGTTTCTCGCATTGTGATGAAACAACGGTACCTAGAGCCATCCAATTTTGAATAACATACGCTTCCATCCGAATATGGGCATCTGGAAGCCCAAATTTGGAATTTGTTTTATTATCTATTTCATACATTATAAACCTTTAACAAATTTTTGATTAACAATCTCAAAGATTTCATAGTGAGCAACGGCAACGCTGAAAAAAAAAAAAAAAAAAAAGTTTTTATCTCCAGCGCATGAGACTGTATGCTTGAAATTCTAAAGATATGCTCTTTGAAATATTTTGTGACATTGGAATTTTATGGTTTAACTGCGAAGAGCATGATATTTAATAAGGTAACACACACAGAGCGCTAAAAAGGGCCCTTTTGAGCGTAATATGAAATTGAAAGCTTTCAGATTTTTAGTTCAAAGGGGCTTTGTCCTTGAGGGACTATTCTTTTCGTTTTGCGATTTTGTACTGAATCACTATAAATGTCCGTTTCACTTTTCAAACTGTTGCCACCCAATGTTAGAGTCCTGCATTATATTTTAAAAAAGTATATAATGAAAAATCTGCATAAATGTATATTTCTCGCATTGTGATAAAACAACGGTACATATAGCCATTAAATTTTGAATGACGTAATCCTCCTACGAATATGGGAATGTGGAAGACCAAATTTGAAATTTGGAATTTGTTTTATTATCGATTTCCTATTTTGTAAGACTTTAACGGTTTGATTTGGTTTGGTTTATTTAATTATGGGAAAGCATACTAGGGCTATCTGCCTAAGGGGAGGGATGTCTTTGTGGAGAACACTGTAACGGAAACTGGCTCGTATACACGTTACACATGGTGTAAACCACGAAAACGCCCATGCAGCCAGCCCGTTCGCGGGATTCGAACATCGGACCGAACTACCAGTTTTCAGCGACTTCACCGCTCCGCAGCTAGTGGGTCAAAACGTGAACGAATTTTTGATTAACAAACTCAAGGATTTTGAAGCGAGCCATGGCAACACTCTAAGGTTGGAAAAACATTTTTATCTCCAGCGCCCGGAACTGTGTATCGGAAATTCTAATAATATGCTCATTTTAAAATTATTTTGCGACATTGCTGTTGAACTGAATTTTATGGTTTAAGTGCGAAGAGCATGATATTTAATAAATAAAAGTAACACACAAAACGTTTAAAAACTCCCCTTTAGACGAAATTTTAAATCTGAAACCTTTCAGATTTTTTTTTTTATTCAATGAAAACGTTTTGAGTTTTTATGTATTTTTTGCCTTGCCAACAGAGTGAGAAATGAATTGATTGAATAAAGAATATATCTCTAATGGACTTCGAGGAAACAAGTATAAATGAAATGCAGCAAACGTAATGTGTAATTTAATACAAGGAAGTCATGTGATGTCCACATCAGATTTTTTATATATGTGCGACTAAGAACGCTTTGTTAAAATTTGTTCTTTTTATTTCAGGTGATTAGCTGCAACAAGAACATCTGCACCTTGCAGATAACGGACACGACGGGTAGTCACCAGTTCCCTGCCATGCAGCGACTCAATATCTCCAAAGGTCATGCCTTCATTCTAGTATATTCCGTAACTTCATCGCAATCACTGGAGGAGCTTCGTCCCATCTTTGAAGTAATTCGGGAAGTCAAAGGTGGAGATATGGAAGGCATTCCCATAATGCTTGTGGGCAACAAATGCGACGAGACAGAATCCCGTGAGGTCCAGACGACTGTTGGCCAAGAACAGGCAAAGAAATGGAACTGCGGTTTCATGGAGACATCTGCAAAGACCAACTGCAACGTCAAAGAGCTCTTTCAAGAACTGCTGAATATGGAGAAGAGGCGTAACGTAAGCCTCAACATGGACACCAGCAAGAAGCGATCTCAGCTACGAAAGGAGAAGCTGAAGGGCAAATGTTCTGTCATGTGAATGGGTCCCTATATCTCTAACGCACATCCGAAAGACCGAACTTCACCTTCCGCAATTTTACCATTTGATATGCTGAAAGAAATTCAGTGATCTGATATAAATACGAAAGCATTCTTCTAAAGTGGAAATTGCTTGATTCCGAAAATATTTTAAAACTGTAATTTATTACTTTTAATTCCTTAAATATTAACTGACATGCATACAAGAGTTAATATATTAAAATAATAATATGTAATATCATTTATACAATTTTTTAATATTGCTTTATAGTTCCAAAGCTGGTAGAAATCGTTTTATATTCCATTGTTGGTTTTCTTGTTATGTGAGTAAATCGTACTTTCAACTTAATGAGCTTTCTGAAATAATAATGAAGCGAACAAACAAATATTTCACATACTGAAAATATACGAATTATATTTCACATACTGAACGAATTAGATTTCAAATATTTCACATACTGAACACATACACTTACGAATTGCTGAAATTTTTTTGCATCAGTTTGCTAAAATGTTTGTTTTACGGCCTGACCCTAATATACGGTAGATTTCTTTTAACTCGTTATAATGTTTAAAGGCCCACCAGCGATTTAGTTGTTAAGTTGCTGAGTGCTGGTAGATCGGAGTTCAGATTTCGGGGAAACGTGCTGGCTGCATGGGCTTTTTCGTGTTTTTCCCCTTCAGTAACGTCTATACATGCCAATTTCTTTTCGATAGTCCTCCACGAAGACGTCCCTTCCTTCGACTACTTTGCCATAATCAAATAATTTAAACCAAACCATAACGATTGAATTAAAAAAGTGACGAAAGCTAAACTTTCTTTTAAACTTAGTGTGGAGTTTAAGATATTTCTGCTCAAAAGTATTTACTTGCTGTAAATAATTTTAATCTGCTTGCTATCATTTTCCTTTTGTAAATATATTGGAGAAGGAATGAAAAAAATAAAAGCTAAGTGCCAAACTTAATGTAGTCTAGCGACAATTTGATTGCTTTAGTTTCAAAATATTTTATTCATAGAATAAATGTAAAATAAAATCGAGATGAATTATTTTGAAGAAAGCATTTACCTGACCTAAACTGTATTTATGGACTTGATTTCCTGTGAAATATTTATTAATATTTCACAGGGAAATATTTATTAATATTTCACAGGAAGTTTTAAAGCATTGCTTAAGAACAAAATTTTGTATTTATGGAATTAATTATTATACATATTTTTTTTTATTAGAGACTGGTATTAGAAGCACATAAGCAGGGTTTAACCAGATGAATTTATTGACCTCTGATCTTCCCTTAAGATTCCTTCACATATGGTTATATTTATTAACGTTGAGAAAATGTGAATGATTTGAATATCAAAATTTAGTTTTACTTAACCCTTAAATGCACGAATTTTTATTTTTATTTTATTTTTTTAATTTAATTCAAAAATGCATTAGAATTGATATAAAATAAAATAGGAAAAATACTAAAAGAATCTAAACTAATTTTGTGTTCCAATTTTTGAAAAAATATTATTGTTACGAAATAGCTACATTATGCAAACAAATATGATAGGCAAATGTGTAATAACAATTTTATGTAATAATACATAGCTTATAAACTTGTTCAAACAATTTTAAAACTTTGAAATACATCAAAATAACAACAAACACAAAATCAAAAATCTCGTAAATATAAATAATGTCCACACCCTACACATCAACTCACAAATAATGACCGTAACACCGTTAGTGGTGCCCCCATACTGAAACTTTCAAAACTGTATACGTAAACAGTGTGCATCCAATTGGTAACACTATGCAGTAAGCTAAAATTTGTGTTTTTATTTGATTTGCATGACTAAATATGAGTATGTTGCCAAATGGTAACTACATGCACTTTAAGAGTTAAGTGCAAGTAGAAGCAAAAGTTAAGTTTCATAAGAAATACGTATAGATGGCAACATATTTCTGTATGTATTACCGTATCGAATTTGTACACATACAAGAAAAAATTCCAGATAGGAAATATGTGCAGCATTTCCTCCTTAGATGAGTACTTTCTATTTGTTTTAAACGTAATTTATTCATCTGATAATTTCAAATAATTATCAAACAATAAGTAGCAAGTTATTAATTTTAAAACCAGTTAATAAACATAATTTAGTTCATTTTTCTAGAAATGCGTACATCATACTAAATTGAAATTATGTAAATGCAATTTTTTTTTTTTAGACTTTTTTTTAACTGACTGTAGAGACATCTGTAGTCTGAACTATGAGCCGCAAAGCCACGAAATTTTGTACGGTTACTATTGACGACATGGGAAAAAGGAATCCGTGAAAAAAAATAGTTCCAAAAGTTGCCGGTAGGGGGAATATTGCGCTTTTGATCTAAATTTTAAGTGTAACTGCACGATAAAATTTCCGACCACTTTAAAAAGTTACAGTGAACAGATAAATGAATAACAAAGAATTAATTTTTCCACAAATGTGCTTTATTCTAAAAAATAACTTCTGTAAATGGTTACAAATTATAAAAAAAAGAGAACATTCTAGTCAATTTCCTTTTTATTCTTTGCTATTTTGTTTTTATTTAGTAGAATCGCTTTACCTGGGAAGACATCTACCATTTTCAATATGACTTCCATTTTCTTGGACTAAGCATTGCATTCTGTTCACTGTACTCTCTACAGCAGTGTGGAACTCAAAATACTGGCGCTTGTGTCGACTACGTAATCGGGATTTTGCATTTTGCAATATTTTCCCGTGTTTTATGCCAAAATTTAACTATCTTAAAGTGTAAAGCGTCCCATTTTCCCCTATCGGCAACTTTTGGAACTAATTTTTTTTTCGCGGATTCCTTTTTTATCAAATGTCCCTGTACAAAACTTCGTGGTTTTGCGGCTGATAATTGAAGCTAAAGAGGTCTCTGAGTACCGTCAGTAAAAAAAAGAAAAATAAAATAAATAAAGTGATAAAAAGATAAAAGTGAATGATAAAGTGATAGAGAGATAAAAGTGATAGCAAATGATTTATATAATTACTAGTAGTACGTATTTATAAAGGAATAAAATCCCAAAATGGTATTGAAAGGTGAAGTCCAGTCTGTCGTTGTTGTCCTATGTAACTCAGATGTTACTTCAAGAGACGTGAAAGCTGTCCCATATGTGGGCAGTCGTTTTCCTTCCTTTGTTTCACGTGGAAAGCTGTCTTGAACTGCTGTGATTGAAATAATGTCGGAACAAAAAACTGTTAGCGATTTAAATGGTAAAGACGCATTATTTTCCTACGCTCAAAAGATCGCTGATGATTCATTGCTTAACTTATATTTTCATTGGAAAGCATGCTCTTATTGCATTCTTAACGAAGAATTTAACGGTATCAGACAGCTTTGAAAATATAGGGCTGTTTGTTTTCCGAAGAAAATAACGGTTCTGAAGTTCATTTTTCAGAACTTTTAAAGTTTTTAATTATTTTAATTGACTTGAGAGATCATGGACAAATGTACGTTCAAATTTGTTTATATAGATCGAGCTTTATATTTTACAATATTCTTCGCTTTAGAAAGTGAGATTTCATGATACCTATTTAGATATTTCTCCAGTTTTCACTTATCTCATTGCTCTTGTATTACTTTTGAAATATCTATCTATTATAAGATCGTAAATGCTTGAAAATGATGACCAGTTTTAAGTAATGCATTTAGTGCTATTGAGAAATAATTTTAAACGTACTTCAGCTATCAAATCCTTTACAAAGCTCTATGCCTAAGAACAAAAGAAAAATGTTTGTTCACGATAATTTAATTTGTTCTGAATTTTTATTTAGGATTTTTCTGTAATATCTTTCCGATTTGGTTTTTAATTCCATGAATTTTTAAATTGTACAGTTGAATTGTTTACTTGTTACGTGATTGAATTTTTTCAACGTTTTTATTTTCTTAATAATAAAAAAAGTTAAATCTTGCAGGTATAATACACTAGAAGTTTTACAGCATTTATATTGCAGTTGATTTACATAAAGTCGATTATCTTTTGAATCACGATTTTATTAAAGTAATGAAAACAGTTATTTTCTGAAATTCAATGTTGTCACACTTTTTATCATATGTACCAATTCCTGTGGCTAGTTCACAGTAAATTAGAGTAACCATCTTACCATTGAAGTAGTATATCATTTTCTAAACAATTCTCTTTCTATTAATGTCTTATAGTTTAACTGATTTGACAATTACAATTCTTAAAATGCGTTAGACCGCACGAAATAAAAGATGCGAAACAAGAATCTAAGAGTTTATTATTACATACGTAATCCGAAATGCATAATGACAAAGAGTCACCAAATAAACACTGCTCCACATTCATAACAATTCTGTTTGTTTCATACGAAGTAAAAGACTTCCCTTCTTTTAAAATAGAAGTAAAGTTTTTAAACGATAGAAAGTCAGTTCCATTGTCCACTTCTTAAACGATAATAAATTAATATTATTCTTATTTTTATTTTGTAATTTATAACGTTTCATATACATGAATATTTAATTTACTTTTTTATAACAGCATATAACAACAAGTCCAAAATTCTTGTCTTGTCGCTTTAGATCTACTTTAAGCATGTATACTATTATATTGCAAACACCATCAATAATGATAATATTTATTATCATTATTATACTGTCATTACATAACGTAAATCATAATTTCTCTTTCAAAAAATGTCGTAAACCAAACGGTTACATTACTTAAACTTCATTGATTATAAAACTCTTACATTACAATCCCCCTTAAATCCTTATTATATCTTAATTATGGAATCCTTACATTACAACCCTTAATTAGAAAACCCTTATATTACAACCCTTAAATTAAACCCTAGATCTATTTTAAGCGTGCATAGTATTATATTGCAAACACCATCATAATAATGATTATATTATCATAAAATAACGCAAATCATAATTTGTATTTCCAAAAATGCCGCAAATCAAACAGTTGTATTATTTAAACTTCATTGATTATAAAACCCTTATATTACAAACAGAAAAATTGCAGATTATTTTATAAAAATGATAGCTATTGCTTTACTTACCGTTTAGAATGGATAAATTTAAATAAAGTATCTTAAGTGTTTTCCTATATGTATCCTAATTCCAAAATTTGAATTTTGAATTTAATTTGGTACCCATTTTAGTAAAAAGAACGGAATGATATTTAATATAATATATTATTTCTATATTTATATGAAAATGATGCATAGAAAATTAAAAATTTCTTTTTAAATATTAAAACTATCTTTTATGTAACCTGTTATGTTTTATGAAATTTTCAAAGTAGAAAATGATTTTATTTTTTTTTATTTGTCCTAAATATAAAATATAATAAATGGTAGAGAGAGTAACATATGTTTGTAATATATGGTAACATATTCATGAAATTTTCGAAATTTTACATTTCTTATAATATGCATTTTTCAGAAAAATTTTATATAGCATAAAGTATAAACATTTTCCGAAATAATGATTCCAAAATCTCAAATGCTAGAACTATTTTTCGTCTTATTACATTTATTTCTGGAATAATTTCAATCCTTTTTTATCATTATGTATAATATTCATTGGTACTTCACAAATTACATGTCCTTAAATTATGGATTAATATATTACATCTTTGTGTCAGTTCTAAAGGTTTATTTTCCTGTAACTATAGAACTGTAATGGATTTTCCTGAATTTAAACAACCACAGATTCATAAAGTTTCATCGTACACCTAAAACACACTGAGTTACTAATGAAGAAATATAACGTTTCATTTAATGTTCTGATTTAATGTGTCTTTGATAAAGTTCGTACACTTGCTTCACATATCGAGAAATGTTGTGATGGTATTATTCAGAGAGTGATTAAGAATGTTAGTTTGCTATGACACCTATACTAAAACTGTTTCGCGGATAATATATATTATATATAAGCATGTTTGTGTAATATACAAATATTATGTGTTACGTCTTCAGAATAGTCCATAAGTAAATGCTCGTATGTTCTTAGAATTCCGGAATAGTCTTGTATATATATCTACCATTACATGTCATTCCGATATATCAACGATAATTTCAAGTGAAAAGCAAAGATGTTCATCTGCTGCCAAGCAATATATACTGTAAATACATATATATATATATACACACGTTTACTTTGCCAGTTACATTATCTTCTCTAGTTTATGCCTTATGGTGAAGGTAAAGGCATTGATGCTGCGTCGTATTACCTGTTTCTTCTCCTTTAACTGAAAAGTTTAAGTATAATCTTTCCTCAGTTCACGAATTTGATATTTTATTATAATTCCAGAAATAAGGTGAAATGAGTTATTCAATCTCTAACGGATTTGATAATTAGATCTATGTGATTGGAATTTATTTAATATTCAGGAGTAAACAAAAATTGCTACAACTTAGATCGCAATTTGCGCGGGAAGATCCTTTAACCCTTTGAAGGCCGAAACGCCCGAGATAGCCTCTCATTCAAACGATCACAACCGCCTGAAACGGCTGAGACTGCGATGTTAATTTCTTTCCATCCTCCTAAGGTATGCAGTAGCAGATGCCGTTTCCCAAATGCATTGTATCCGTTTATTGCAGACAGCTTGTCCTAAAAGTCTAATGGAAGCTTTTTTGTTACGAAGTAGAAAGGTTGTCATTTGAAATCTTCACACTTCCTTCTGCATTATTGGACTTCCCAAAAAATACTAATTCTACTTCATTTTCATAAAATGTGATACTGAAATCCCATTTTGACAGGCCCATTTTGATAGGTGGAAAAAAAGAATTTTAAGGAAAGGGTTTGAAAATAAAAAATAACTATTAGAAAATTAGTATAATTCCTGCAGTACAATTATTAACAAATCGGAATTTATGGAATAACTTGCCTCGCCAAAAATTTCTTGAAAGTTTTATAATTTTTTATGAAAAGAATTTTTTCCTTATTTCTTCTACTTCAATATTCGTAAACAGAGGAAAGAACGTACCATGCTTCTTTTAGATTTGAACGCAGTGCTTTGAATTATGACAATACGTCGTTGTATCATTGCAAAGAGGAAGTTTAATGAAAAATGCACTTAAAATACTGAAATGTTTGTAGATTTACGTACTTTCGATTCAATGATTCAAATTCTAAATTGCTATTTAATGACTTAAAACTGAGTGCAAGGTTGTTGAATATTACCTTGTTTAAAATTTGATTTATTCAGTGCTTTAAAAGTGCTAGATAAGCAGCTGCATTATGAAATAGGCTTTAGTATTTTAATATTACATGCAACGACCATGCAATATTACTTTTAAACAATAAAAGCTTTCTTGTAAAATTAAGTGGTTAATCCACAAACATAATACATGTTTACAGTTTCAGATATGAAAATATATTCTACAGATATGAAACGATATCTATGATATGATTTCAAATATGAAAATGTATTCATTTTTTTCCTCAGAATGAAAAGAATATACAACAAAATTTTAAAATAAAATAGTTAGTAAATTTTTATAAAATTCCTCTTGTAACTTCGAAAAATTTAGTAGTTCCTTAATTTATCGCTTCTGTTCTATTATGATATAGTTCGACCTACTCAAACGCAACCTTGGCTGGCAATCTGCCAAAACACATAGACTCGTCCAAAATGGGCGTTATTACTTGCTAAGACGTGAAAGGTCACACGTTATTACTTGCTAAGACGTGAAAGGACACATGAAAGTCTTCTCTTCTATGTCTATGCCTTATCACTTAGTAAGAGGCAGTCGGCCATTTACGGAATTTGCCAATATATTATACTTGACTTTTAAATGCGTGAAGAATCGAATAAGTTGTATCCAATAATATGGAAATACTTGTGCACATGCTGTGCTAGAACTCAGAGATTACTGATTAAGTAACTTTCATTCCGTAGATTAAGTAAACTTTGAACAAATGAAGCGCTCGTGTGGTGCCATCTATTAGTACGGATGAAAAGTATTTTAGTTGACTGGAGCTCTGGTGGCGCCATCTCTTGCATAAGTCTTCTTTTCTCCGGAAAGAGAGAATTTATATGCTCCAGGGAAAGAAATCCTTCCACCCTATTTTGAGAATAATTCGGTCTGAATGGCGCATGCATGTTTGCGCTCATGGTCGCGGAAGAGGCGGTCGAACTATATCAACCTATGCTTGCTATCCTGTAAGGTTGATATATTCTATTAAACAGTAAAACAAAGAAAATGAATAGAATATATTAATGATTGACATAATTGTACATATGAAATTTCATTTCTGTTCTGTAGAAAGTATTTATCACAATTTTTGGCTATCATTTTGGTGCTACCAAAGAATGACGTTTTAAGATTAACGTGCACTATTTTAGTAGAAAAATAACTTATAAACACAAACTGTTCCTCATGTTCTATATTTCTACCTGTTCTGCTGGTAGCTGTATTAAAGTGAACAATACTCTTAGAGCACTATTCATCGAGCATGGAAAATATGGCAAAGCACAGAATAAGGCAAAATTATGGATCTTTTCATCCACAAAGAGTTTGCATTATACATTTTTCTGGATTTTCCAAGATGCACTGTGAATATAAAGGTAGGTACGTGTAAATAAAATAGCACTTTCCGAAATTTTCTTTTGACTATTACTCACGCAGTATCTTGCATTACTGTGAATATATAATATGATACTGAATGAATGCAATTTAGATTAAGAAGTTTGATATTTTGCATAATTATACAGTTACTGAAAAATTAAAGTGGAATAATAGTGAGATTAATAAATACTTTCTTAGTATCAGCTTCAGGTCAAATATCTCCCGCTCTACTAGACCGATTGTCGAAATTTAACTTGCGTTTTCCATGTCTCGAAAGCGCGACCTAGGATCTATCTTAGATTTATATATGGCAATTGCTCTAACTTAGGTATTTTGACACAATACAATTCTGAAATAACATGCACATTTTTTCCATACTTCGATACTACGACTCAATTTATGCCTATACATTAAATTTTGTAATTTTTGGTGAGAAATTTAGAAATTTATCTTGACGCATTTTTTTCTGTTTGCACCAAGAATAATTCACTTGGCGAAAATTTATAGCAACCTACTTTCCTTTCCTTTTTTCTTGGTACAGGAGCGAGAAAATGGTCATCGTTCATAATTTCAAATAATTTTAACAAAGTGCGTAAACCACATGTGGCTTTATTATCGCTTATAACGAATATGCCAATTTTCAAAACGCGCCAATACGTAAATTCACCTACATCTTAGGAAATTTTGAATATAAAACTCTAATTTTTTTATGGTATGCTTAGAAATACATCTATTTTGAGTAGATGATGAAACATATATAGGCTATAACTCAAAATGTTTTTTGAAAAATTTGTAAAAACTATTTAAAAATACGAATTTTAGAAATAAATCATAAAAAATGGGCGAATTTTATTTGGAATGAACCTAAATTTCGAATTGTGAACGAACAATGAAATAAAGTTAAAAAAATACATATTAATAAATATATACCAAATCCAATTAACATGGATGAGCTAAAATTCTGAAAGCTGATTTTTTAAAAACGACACGTGCGATTTTCGCAAAACGTGGTATTCTGGCATAATTTGAGTCTTAGAATCGAAATATGAAAAAAAATTTATATTTTAGTTCAGAAAAAGTCTGATTTTATGTCAAAATACCTATGTTAGAACAATGCAATATATAAATCTAATATATTTTCTAAGTCGCGCTTTCGACACATGAAAAACGCAAGATAAATTTCGACAATGAGTCCAGTAGATCAGGAGATATAGAACTGTCTCATTTTTTTTCCCAAGGTGTACATGTAGGAATTGCGATGATACATTTAAGTTGTTATCAAAGATTAGCGATTACACGTAATCACTGATATTTCACCTAACTACTACAACTATATTTCAACTAACTATCTACGTATTTATGTACATTAATGGTTAACTCTACGAAACCGCATGTATTATATTAATTGCGATTAATATTATTAACAATTTGCTATTCATCCATATTTTCGAAAACTTTTCAAATAAAATTTAGAAAATTTGTTTTTGAATTTAACAGACTTAATACTTCTTCTAACTTGCATTCATTAAATTTTGTTAAATATTTATAGGCAAAAATGTGAAAGATCTCAGATATTCGCATCATATAGTGAAATGAAACGAATTGTGTGCTTTCGATCATAATTCAAATGTAACGCTATACCAAGTATTCACTATATAACGTAAGATACTATGTTTATCAG